GTAACACTCCAAAGAGAAAGGAAAAATTGAAATCGTATCATATAACCACTTTAACTGTTCATGAGGTAGATGGCCTGAGGGAAGAAACTGTTCCTATGTCTGACTGTTTTGGTGCTCAGTGCTCTGTAGCGTCGATCAGATGGCAGCAGTTCAAAGAGGCAGTGTGCTGGATGTGAGGGGTCCAGAGTGATTCTGCCAGCCCTTTTGCTCACTCTGGATAAGTACAGTTCTTGGAGAGAAGGGAGGGATGTACCAATGATTCACTCAGCAGTCCGGACTACCCTCTGAAGTCTTCTGAGGTCAGATTTGGTAGCTGAGCTGAACCAGACAGTCATAGAATTGCAGAGGACAGATTCCGATCCGGCGATCCACAGTGCAAAGTTGTAGTATTTCCTCAGCAACCAGCACGGATCAGCTCCAGGCATGACGAAGTGATATCGTCCTCTTTTGGAAGGCCAAACAAAGTAGTTTCGCTTTCACAATGAAACACACAGCGCCTTCACGACATGTCTGCGGCGGCAACAACAATACTACAGCGAGAATAAAAGTTACGCCTTCTTTCTTTGCGTGAACATTTGGGCGGCATTATGCAAATCTTCCCACATAGTGATGTAGACATGTGGGGGCATGTTAGAATGAGCCGTTTTAGGTAGGCGTGGTTTACTCTTAACTTTTATAAAGAATATCTCTTTGGATTTGAGACTTTAGTCTTTGCAACTTTACAGACCTTCTTTATGCACCAAGAGCTTGTAACACTCCAAAGAGAAAGGAAAAATTGAAATCGTATCATATAACCACTTTAACTGTTCATGAGGTAGATGGCCTGAGGGAAGAAACTGTTCCTATGTCTGACTGTTTTGGTGCTCAGTGCTCTGTAGCGTCGATCAGATGGCAGCAGTTCAAAGAGGCAGTGTGCTGGATGTGAGGGGTCCAGAGTGATTTTGCCAGCCCTTTTGCTCTCTCTGGATGAGTACAGTTTTTGGAGGGTGGAGAGGGTTGTACCTATGATTCGCTCAGCTCTCTGGACTATCCGCTGCAATCTTCTAAGGTCAGTTTTGGTAGCCGAGCTCAACCAGTCAGTTATTTAGCTAAGCACCATGGCAGCCGTTTGTGGCGCCATCTTGATACATACAGTACATGTGACCCTATTGTTTGATATAAGTAGTCCTCATGTTGCCATTGTCTCTGGTCTAGCTTTGTATTGTGTACCTGCTGTTGGTGAGTTGTGTTTCTGTTCATGGCAAGTCTGTTCAAGTCAAGTCAAGTCTTTGGTTGTATTTTGGATTTTACTGTTTCAATAAACCGCACATGGGTTCATCTCAACTTGCCTTCAGTGGACAGCAGAAATGATAATTGGTGTGCACCTGCCCAACCTTCAGGACTTGTACATCTCCAGAGTGAAGAAACGGGCAGGAAGCATCATCACAGACCACTTTCACCCCGGACACAACCTGTTTGCACTTCTCCCTTCAGGCAGACGCCACAGATCTCTGTGCCCTAGAACATCTAGGCATAAAAACAGTTTTTCCCATGCCATCTCCAGCTTAAACAGATAGCACAGGAATTATTACTTGTGTTCTGTAATTCAAGTACTATATAAATACATATGCATATCTCTTTAATCATGCAGCTGTATAAATAGTAAATAATGCACAAATCTGTACATAAATCTTCTGTTCCAGATTCATAAACAATATTATTATTATTATTATTAGTTAATGTAAAGTCTTAGGTAGGGATGTAACGGTATGAAAATTTCTTATCACGATTATAGTGACCAAAATTATCACAGTTATCAGTATTATCACGGTTTTGTTAAAATGTGCTGGAGATGTTCAAAAAGTACCAACACATAAATCACTTCACCAAGTTTTATATTTAAAAATCAACAAACAACAAATAAAATGACTTTTTGTTTGCATAATCACTAAAACAATAACATTACCAATGATGTTCAGATTTTAAATGACAACTTAACTGACAACAGTTTAATAGCATGTTGAAATATCTAATGTAAATGTTCAAATAAAGCTTTGAAAAAGTTTCATAATTCATCATATATTCATTTGTATAATTCCCTTAGAACTCTTTTAAGCACTCTTTTAAAACCTCACAGCTTTTCCGCCCTATTTTCACTCAAAACGAAACTACTCTGCGTGCTGTGCGCATGTGAGACTGTTACTTAAAACTGCTTTATGCTGGACAGTATTTATTTATCGTGAGTTGTTCAAATCGCGGTAATCTAATACGGTTTTAATGATAATTAAAATATTAAACGTTAATACTAACCGTCGGGAATTTTATCATGATTTATCGTCAAACCGGTAATCGTTACATCCCTAGTCTTAGGGTGTATTCACACCTGTCTTGTGTGGTTCGATTGAATCGAACTCAAGTTCATTTCCCCCCTTGGTGCGGATCTTTTGGGCAGGTGTGAATACAGCAATCGTACTCGGGAGTGGACCAAACAACTGTACCCAGACCCAGCTGAAGAGGTGGTCTCAGTCCGCTTCCAAACGAACTCTGGTACGGTTGAATGGATGAACCAATGAATGGATGACATTAAGCACACGTGTTTTTTTTTTACAATTTCTGATTCACTTGCAAAAAGGGCAGTGTGATAGCGAACCGCACCAAACAAAAAAATCAACATTGTATTTGGTCCGGACCAAAGCAAGTGAACTAGCGGACTTTCCTGATGTGAATACACCCTTATTTAATATTTTCTGTTCTCATGTCTGATATGTATGTATGTATGTATGTATACATACATGTATGTACCAAGAGCACCTTAAAACACAACAAATTCCTTGTGTGTCTGCGCACACTTGCCGAATAAATCTGATTCTGATTCTATCGTTACAACCATTTAAAACTGTGGCTTAATGTGGCAGTACTATGGTGCAGTGGTGGTATGAAATCATACCAAGGTACTTTGATATGTACTTTTTTGAATTATTACCATGTTGTAGAGGTACTTGTAGATGTTTTTGTGTTTTGATAGATCCTCATGATCCAGACTGAATCAGAAACTGATTCAAACCATTTTGTTAACCTGCCTGACGTATAAGAACCAACTGATGAATCAGGTATACTAAATAAACAACAGAAAACGACTGCAGGAATACTGTGAGGAATGAATAAATGTTCCTCAGGTCAGTATTTTGTGTGCTCTTTTGGTAGACAAGAACAGTAATGTTTTAGTGGGGCTGGTGCTGGTGGCAGGACACATGAGGCAGAGTTTAAACACGTACTGAATTATGCTTGGTAAAAAAAAAGCACCCCAGTGTGAGCCAATATGGTGTTCTTTTGTGCATCTCCCCTAATCACGCTTTTATTGTTCCCCACATGTATAACACTGTTAATGCATCCCTCGCTCAGCATGTCTAATGTCTTCCGGGCTGGTCTGAATCTCCTGAAAAGCTGTTTCACACTTATTGGACGTATTGCTAGTGGTTCTATGCAGTTTACATGAAACTACTGTAATACCTTCTTTAATCCAAAATGTCACGCAAGGATACCTTTATACCTTAGATCATAATTGTCTGTTGAGTGCAATGACATTGGTAAACCATTGAAAATCTTTTAAAACAATCTAGAATCCATTTTGATTTTCATGAGCTTCGAGTTTTGATACCCTAAAGTGGGACTGTTTGAGGCAGAGAAGATTTAAGAACCCAAATGTCAATCATTTGGAAATTATCCATATGAATTATTAATACAAACTCTCACTAGCCATCACAAGTCCCTAACTGCTGAACCAAAGGAGTCTGACCCTATCCCAAATTACACTGTAAACCCTTGCAGTGTTCCTCAGAGTCCACATTTACATGGTGTAATGCCATGTAGACTGTTGGATACAAGTCTGCTGTGGAGCCTAAAATGACAAATGGGAAACACAAATGGCACACTTTTCAGTCTCGTGGACTTAACAGACATGGGTGTGTGGGAGCATAGTCAGCAGTCAGCAAGACTCTAGGTGAACATTAACTGTGCCATTAGGGACAGGGCCACAGTTTGTTGCTCAGGGTTCTTGTGGTGGACTACCTGCCTCTTTCCAATTCATTAATCGTTTTTCTCATTCTTTAAGGTCTCTTCTTAAACATCATCTCTGTTTGCCCACTCATGCACTTCACTATGTACAGTACATTTGTCACCATCCAATTTTTCCTTAGATTTGTTAGATTTAGGCACAATTTGAGTCTGATAGCTCTTGAGTATTTCACAGGTTAAAGATGCTTTAACTAAAACATGGGAACAAATGAACAAACAGTGGGAATGAAACTGGGAATGAAACCCCCACACATGTCAGGTGTGGAGAACATTGCTGTGGGAAGAGAATAATTTTATAACTAAAACATATATTAGTTGGGTTAAGAAATACATGGCAGAAAACAAGAAATTAAAATTGGTGTACATGCTGTGTTCTCCACTATTAAGGGGCAACCGCAGTACTTCTTATGTGACCTCCAGTATGTCATACAGCACCTCTCTCTTCACCTCAGTATTCCTGTATGTGTGTGTGTGTGCATGTGGTTTATCTCAATGGCAGCACATAATGAGGCACAGAGAATGTGGAAGCAGCATTCATTCAATAATATGCTAAGTGATTGCGATTGGTTCTGTTATGGATCAGATCTGGTATGTTTTTCATGTGACTGATGACTTTAGGGTCTAAGTGTATGTTAGTTATAGGCTTTATTCTTGAATGGTGTTTACCAACAGAACATATTCAAACATTTCTAATGCAATGTGCACTGTAAATTTGACTTCAGATTACATCCATTATCATCATAGTTTTTTTATTTTTTTTATTGTATCACAAAATAACTTTAATTGTTTGGTTGGCCAAACTTTTATTGAAGCTAAACAATTAAAGAGTAAACTAATTAGATGCAGTCAGGGTGCTGTGACTTATCTGCTGTTAAGGGATTGTACATTAGCTTAATCTTGAGCGATTAAACATGACTGACAGCTAACCTAAGCTCTCCTGTCTGCAGGTGCGTGTGTTCCCTTACCTGATTGGTCGGGAGTCTGCCTTTGCTGATAACCTGAAATGGATGGCCTGCGCTAATAAAGGTTAGGCTTACTCATTCTTTCTCATGCAGCTCTGAAAACATTTCCTCAGCTGATTAACAAACAGTGAAAGAATGACCTGATCGCCACATGTGTGTGTAGTGAAAAACGTCTAGGCTACGTATGTAACCCTCGTTCCCTGAAGGAGGGAACGGAGACGTTACGTCAGAACAGACTGACGAATGGGGTCTCGCCCGAGAGCCCAATCACCTTTGAGTGGTAATAGACGAGCCAATGGTATGCTGAGTACCTTGGTCTGCGGAATTTGCATCGCAAGCTCCGCCCCGCTGTGTGGGTATATAAGGAGCAGAGCGAGCAACTCGCATTCAAGTCTTCGCTGAGGATCTGAGCCATGTGACCCAGCCGTTCAGCGGAACAGCAATTGTGGCAAAAGGACGTAACGTCTCCATTCCCTCCTTCAGCGAACGAGGGTTACATACGTAACCTAGATGTTCCCTTTCAGTCGGTCACGTTCGACGTTACATCAGAACAGACTGACGAATGGGGTCCCTTCCAAAACGCCACAATGGCTGTCTTCCAGTAACCTGCGTAAGTGATAGCACCCTGTCATGAAGCCAGCACGAGCGAAGGGCTATACCTAACACCGAACACACTGGGTAGCATATTCCAGCTGGAAGTATGTTAACAGGCTGCCTGCTTATAGGGGGTCTTACAAAGCACATATCAACCAGCGTAGCGGTGATGCATGTGAATCTCTGAGGTACCCAGCCCGCAGGGTGGATATGTTTCAATGTCAGAGATGGCAAGGGTGGCTTGCCAAGGGAAAGACACATGCTGCCGAGAGAGACTTACTGAGGAAATACACACGTGGGATTGCCCAAGAGGGGAACCACAACCCATGGAAGCACCTAGTCTAACACAGGGGCTGACAGACAGGGCATGCACGCAAGTGCTCGACATAACAGTACTGGAGGAACCCAGGGTTCTGAACTGTGGAACTCACCTGAGGAGAATAGCACACGCATCCAGTCTGTGGAGTGGAATGGCGCAGCAAGCGAATTGACCGAGCAGGTCCTGTTTACTGTCCCGAAGGGGCAAGTATACGGGAGGACATGGGCTCTACACGGAGATTATAGAATCTCTCAAATGTGTTAGGTGTCGCCCAGCCCGCAGCTCTACAGATGTCTGTTAGCAAGGCGCCATGTGCCAGTGCCCAGGAGGAAGCCACACTCCTAGTTGAGTGAGCTCTCACCCCTAGGGGGCATGGCAGGTCTTGAGCCTGATAAGCCAAGACAATAGCATCCACTATCCAGTGGGATAGCCTCTGCTTGGAGACAGCCTTTCCCTTCTGCTGGCCTCCGTAACAGACAAAGAGCTGGTCTGTGGTCCTGAAGAACTGAGTTCTGTCTATGTAAGTGCGGAGCGCACGTACTGGACAGAGCAGCACCAGGGCTGGGTCTGCCTCCTCCGGGGGCAGCGCTTGCAAGTTCACCACCTGATCTCTAAAGGGAGTGGTGGGAACTTTGGGCACGTATCCAGGCCGGGGTCTCAAGATAATGTGAGAGATGGCCGGCCCGAATTCCAGGCACGCTTCATCAACTGAAAATGTCTGCAAGTCCCCGACCCTCTTAACCGAAGCCAAAGCCATCAGGAGCGAAGTTTTCAATGATAAGAATTTTAGCTCCACTGAAAGCAGGGGTTCGAAAGGAGCTCTCTGTAGTGCGGATAAAACAACTGCGAGATCCCAAAAGGGAACTTGTTGAGGGCAAGGCGGATTGAGCCTCATGGCCCCTCTCAGAAACCTGATGATCAGGTCATGTTTCCCAAGGGATTTACCGTCAACAGGATCGTGGCGAGCCGCAATGTAGACCTTCAGGGTGGAAGGAGACAGCCTTCGTTCCAACCCTTCCTGAAGAAAGGAAAGCACTGACCCAATTGGGCATTTCCAGGGTTCTTCTCGACGTGAAGAACACCAAGTGACAAAGAGGTTCCACTTCAGAGCATAGGCATGTCTGGTAGACGAGGCCCTAGCCGAAGTGGCAAGGTACCAAAACCTTCTGTGACCCGTCCAGAACCCACACATGTAGGTTCCAAAGATCGGGACGTGGGTGCCAGAGGGTGCCCCGTCTCTGAGAAAGAAGGTACTTCCTCAGAGGGATTGGCCAGGGAGGAGCTGTCGTGAGGAGTACAAGTTTGGAGAACCAGGTCCGGCTGGGCCAATAAGGCGCAACCATGAGGACCTGCTCCTCGTCCTCCCTGATTTTGCACAATGTCTGTGCAAGAAGGCTCACTGGAGGAAACACATACTTGCACAAGCCCTGCGGCCAGCTGTGTCCCAGAGCGTCCGTGCCAATGGTGCCCTCGGTCAGGGAGTAAAACAACTGGCAGTGGGAATTGTCTGGAGAGGCAAACAGGTCTACCTGAGCATCTCCAAAGCGTTCCCAAATCAGCTGAACCAACTGGGGATGGAGTCTCCTTTCCCCGGGACAAGACTGCTGTCGTGAGAGCTTGTCGGCTGCACGATTGAGCCTGCCCGGGATGTGAATGGCACGAAGCGACCTCAGATGCTTCTGACTCCACAAGAGGAGATGGCAAGCGAGTTGCAACATGCGATGGGAGCGTAGACCGCCCTGACGGTTGATGTACGCTACGGTCGCAGTGTTGTCCGTACGGACCAGAATGTGCTTGTCCTTCAGCAGGGCCTTGAAGCGGTGCAGAGCAAGCCATACTGCTAGCAACTCGAGGCGATTGACATGCCACTGAAGTCGGGGTCCCGTCCAGGAGCCTGACGCAGCATGTCCGTTGCACATGGCACCCCAGCCCGTGGCAGAGGCATCTGTTGACACAACAACATGCCAGGACACTGGTTCTAGGGGAACACCAGCCTGTAGAAATGAGAGGTCCAACCACGGGGTGAAGGTTCAGCGGCAGGCCGGCCAGGAGCCTCTGAAATAGTTTCAGTGGAACCACTCTCTTGCCTTTGAATTGACTCAGGCAATTCAGCAGTGACTGTGCGCACTTGCTCGTAAGCTGCGCGAAAATGGCGACTGAGTCTATTTCCATACCGAGAAAAGAGATCCTCTTCACAGGGGAGAGTTTGCTCTTTTCCCAGTTGACCCGAAGACCCAGATGGGCGAGGTGTCTGAGCACCAGATCTCTGTGCTCGCACAACTGTACTCGAGAGTGAGCTAGAATCAGCCAGTCATCGAGGTAGTTGAGGATACGGACACCTTGCTCCCTGAGTGGAGCCAGAGTTCCCTCCGCGACCTTCATAAAGACGCGGGGAGACAGGGCCAACACGAAAGGGAGAACTTTGTACTGATATGCCTGCCGCTCGAAAGCAAACCGAAGAAACGGTGTCGAGGAAGAATGGAGACATGAAAGTACGCGTCCTTTAGATCTATCGTAACAAACCAGTCCTCGGATCTGATCTGAGACACAACTTGCTTGATGGTGAGCATTCTGAACTTCAGTCTCATGACTGAGCGATTCAACTGACGTAGATCTAAAGTGGGACGCAGCCCCCCATCCTTCTTTGGAACAATGAAGTACCGGCTGTAGAACCCGGACCCCCTGTCGTGAGGAGGGACCACCTCGATGGCCTCCTTCCTCGAGAGAGTATTGACTTCCTGTTCTAATACCAGAGCCTGCTCGGGGCCCACGAGTGTGGGAAAGACCCCGTTGAATGGTGGCGGAGGATCCCTATGCGACCTTCGTAAAGACGCAGGGAGACAGGGCCAACCCGAATGGGAGAACTTTGTACTGATATGCCTGCCCCTCGAAAGCAAACCAAAGAAACGGTCTGTGTCGAGGAAGAATGGAGACATGAAAGTACGCGTCCTTTAGGTCGATCGCTGCAAACCAATCCATGGGACGAATGCATTCGAAAATTTGTTTGGGCGTTAACATCTTGAACGGAAGTCTGTGAAGAGCTCGGTTCAAGGCATGCAAGTCTAGGATTGGCCGTAACCCACCTGTTTTCTTGGGTACTATGAAGTAGGAGCTGTAGAAGCCGGACTTAATGTCGGCTGGAGGGACCGGCTCTATTGCGCCCTTTGCCAGCAGGGTCACGACCTCCGTGCGCATGATAGGAGCATCCTTGCCCACCATCGTAGAGCGAATACCCCAAAACCTGGGGGGACGCCGGGCGAATTGAATCGCGTAGCCAAGCCTGATCGTTCGGATGAGCCAGTGGGACGGACTGGAGAGCTGTAGCCAGGCTCCCAGAAACCGAACCAGCGGGGTCAAGGAAACTACAGGCATACCCACAGTGGGGCAGCGAGGCGGAACAGATTAGCGTCCCTTAGCAAGGGTGGAGTCCGAGCACTTGTCTGATTCTGAGACATGGCAAAGGGGGCGTGAGAAGGCAATGCGTTCTCGAGCTGGCTCTGCCTGGAAACTGGCAAAGGAAGAGGGGGACGAGAGCGGTGAGGAATCACGGTCTTCTACTGTCATCCGCGGCCTCTTGGGACCCGGAGGTAGAGGAAACAGCTCTTTTAATGAAGGTTTGGTTACCACTGGTCGTGGGGCCAGTGGCGGAACAAAAAGAGAACAAAAACAAAGGATTTTCCCCCGGCCCTCCTCCGGGGGAAGGAGTGGTCCTGCTACCATCTCCTGAAGAGCTGACTTCCCCATCTCCGGGTCTCCCGTCTCAGGAACGCCACTTGCCCGGACGCTTGGCAGGTTTAGGTGCAGAGACGGGCTGCGCCACCCTTCTGCGGCCATCTCCTCACTGCGGCCAGGGTGGAGGCGGCTGCTGTGGCCGAGCGGGAGTGGAGGAGACCACAGGGGGGCGCCCTCGGCGACGAGCAGGCTGAGGTGGCTGAGCCGGCAGCAGTGTGGAGGCAGCAGCGGGCCGCCGGGGCAGAATATGTTTTATGGCCTCAGACTGCTTCTGTGCGGCAGAGAATTGCTGGGCAAAACTCTCAGGCAACGCAGCCGAATTCTCATCTCCCGAGGACTCAAGCCCGCCTTGTGATGTGGCGATCAACATTTGGTCATCCTCCTGAGCCCCGAATGAGATGCTGGGATCCTGGTGAGAG